CTGCATTCCCAGAGGAGCCCAGGCCCATCTCCCCCAGCCCTGGAGCTCCAAGGAAAACTCCCCCCTTGTGCAGGATCCTGCTCCAGCAGAAGCACAACTGGCACTGCAGGAGGGCTGAGCCCCCCTGGGATGGGGCTGAGCCACCTCCCTGACCCACAGGGGCTCAGGGCATGTTCTGACTCTGGCACTGGTTTGTTTTCTTTTGTACTATTGCATTTGTATTTTTAATTTTCCTAGTAAAGAACCGTTATTCCTATTCCCATTTCTTTGCCTGAGAGCCCCTTAAGTTCAAAATTATAAAAATTTGGAGGGAGAGGGGTTACATTTTCCATTTCAAGGCAGGCTCCTGCCTTCCCTAGCAGACACGTGTCTTTACAAACCAAAACAACAGCGCTGGGCTGTGATGCATCTCGTGTTTATTTGGGCAGTCATGGGCTGTGCAGAGGTCTGCAAACCAGGGTCTCAAATGTCATTTCAAAGGCCAGCTGCAGCCTCACCTGACTGGACCAATCTCCCAGCCCTCTTGGAAGCTGATTGCCATGGACACATCCCCTCCCTCTGTCAGGAGGTCACGGGCACTCCCCGGTGGTGGTGCCTCACCCGGGAGCGGGGCCAGGACAACACACAGGGCAGGGCCAGCTCTCCGAGGGGACACCAACGTCCCCAAATCCACCCCCACAGCTCCCTGGAGCCCCCAGGCCCAGCATTCGGGCAGCACAGCCTCGGGGTTAGGGGATGCTCAGGCAGGTGACAGCTCCAGGGAGCCAAGCAGGGCAGCAGAGGAGCTGGAGCTGCACAGTGCAGGGAAAAAGAGCATTTTGGAGAGTTTCAGCTCCCCCGAGAAAAGCTTCTCCTGGGTGAGAAGATCACGTCTACACAAGGCAGCCTGGTTTGTGCTGTGCCCCTGGGTTCCTCTCACGCGGGAAGGGCCCTGACTGATGAATTCTGATGTTGGAACTCAAAATGTCTCTCAGACATTTTTAGAGGTTCCAGGCCTTGGTTAGAAACATTTTAGACCTCAGCAGGCAGCTGAAAACAGCTGTGATTTTAAGTTTAAGCCATGGAATGAGTTATTAACTTTGGAGGTGGAACAAGCAGTCACAAAGGGTTAGATAGTATAGTAAAAGTAGTTACAAAACAGAAGGGAAAATTTTTTAATATTGTACACGGGCATTCTAGCACCTATTCAGGGGGGGTTTTACTTTGTACATGGGAGTCAGAAGTTCTAAAATAGAGGAAAGTGGGCTGATCCTGTTCTTCCTCCTTCTTCTTCCTTGCCTCCATGTTCTTAGTGATGCTAGCACTCACAAATTAGTTTAGAGTAGAAAAGCACTTAGTAATATAGGTAATAGATATTAGAGAAAAACTGTAAACATATTATATGTAATATATCATATAAAAGATAGCAGCAGCCCTGGGCGGGGAGAGAGATGCCATGATGATTTTTTGCCTTTTCTTTTATATACCTTTTACATATCCTCAGTGCCCTTAGCATGCATACTTGTAATTCCTTATTAATTATATATATATTCTCCATATAAATATATGGAATATATATATAGAATTTCTTATATATATAATTCCTTATATATTTTATATATATATATATATATGGAATATATAGACACAATTCCTTATATATATAATTCCTTATATATTTTATATATATTCCTTTTATATATATATTCCATATATATACATAATTCCTTATATATTTTATATATATTCCATATATATACACAATTCCTTATATATATAATTCCTTATATATTATATATATATTCCTTATATATATAAATATGGAATATATAGACACAATTCCTTATATATATATAATTCCTTATATATAACACATATATATGTATATATATATATAGATACATTCCTTATATGTATATATTCCTATATATAATTCCTGAATAAATTTTATTTATATATTTTTACTTAATATTTAGATATATAATGTATATATAATATTATATATATATATTTTAATATATATATATTCCTTATTCTGATATCTTAACATAGCCCTGGTATTCTGTTAGGCCAGGAGAACAAACATCCTAAAGGCCTCACAGCTGGAGGCTGGAAAACCTCACACTACCTTGAGAAACCAAGGTCCCCTCTAGAATACACCCTGTAAAATAGGATAAAACCCACCCAGGAAGGAATGCTTCCGGGTGGGAGGATATCACACCATTCATTCAAGCCTCTCCTTGAGGCACCTTTGTTAGATATGCTAATTTGGAAGGTCTGTAAATTGTATTATGGGATCTATTTTGTGTGTGCATTGTGTGTGCACATTCCAGTGGTGCATCATAAGGATCCTTATTAAATAAAGGCAAAAACCCTTTATCCTCTAACTGTGTCTGGCTTTCAGTTTTAGGACCAAGGAAAAGGCATCACAGGATCTCCAGGATCTTCACTGCAAATCTTGCTGCCACTTGCTCTAAAGGTAAAAATCCACTCCTAATCTTGCTGCCACTTGCTCTAAAGGTAAAATTCCACTCCTAATCTTGCTGCCACTTGCTCTAAAGGTAAAATTCCACTCCTAATCTTGCTGCCACTTGCTCTAAAGGTAAAAAATCTTTTAACTCTGTCTGGCTCTCAGTTTTAGGACCAAGGAAAAGGCATCACAGGATCTCCAGGATCTTCACTCCAAATCTTGCTCTTCCGTGAGCCTCCGCTCTGCCCCCAGACATTCACCAGTGCCAGCAGGCAGGGAAGTGGGAGCAGAAAACAGAACTGAGCTCCACTCGTTTATTCATCTCCCTCAGCTTTTCTTCCCTTTTTCCCTCAGAACTTTTCACCTCCGAGGCAGGAGGGTCCTTGCACACTCCAGCCTCCAAAGGATGCTCGGGCAGCCACCTCTGGCTGTGCCGTTCCCAGCTCTGTGCCTGGAGAGAGGCAAAACCTGTGATCTGAGATGAGAAGGGAGCCGTGAGCCTCCCGCTCCTCCTTTCCAGACAATGTGCAAGGCAAAAACAATTTGTGCAGAAGAAACGGGAGCGAGGAGCTTCGTGGAGCTGGCAGGGAACAAAACACACACAGGGGGAAAAAAAGAAAGGAAGTGTCAAGTTGGGAAGAGTGGGAAGAGCTGCTCATGCACAGAGCTGGGGAAGGGAGGCAGGCCCAGCTGGGAGGTCGCTGCAGGAGCTTTTTTAACCCTGTGGCTGAAAGATGCTCCTTGAGAAGGAGAGGGAAGCATGCATGGGATGCCAGCTGGGAGCAGAGAGAGTTTCTCCTCTCACAGGGCATTGCTGAGGGTGGCACAGGCACCTCCGTGGGTGCCAAGTGTGAAAAACGCCCATTGCTTGGTTTTCAAAATTTTTGAAGTTTAAATAATAATAAAATGGTTATAAAAATAGTAATACAATTAGAGTAATAAAGTTTAGAGTTAGGACAGTTACAAGACAATAAAAAGCAAAGAGTTATGGATGTCTGGATGCTCTCGGACACTAAGTAATGAAAAGCATCCCTTGTGAACAAAGGAATAACCTTAAACCAATACACTTGTTGCATATTCATATATCCTTCATGGTTATGCATACATTCTATTCTAAACAAGAAACTCTGTTGTATGTCAGCTGTTTCCTTTAATCCCCTGGCGTCTTCAATTCTGAGCAAGGCCTGAAGAAATTCGTTTTCTCTGATAAGAAACCATAAATTCCTCTCCTTTGGAAGACTTAGGTGTTCCTCAAAGTGAGTATCTCATCCCTAAAAAAAAACTTCCCCCACATACATAGTCTGTATTTTAACATTGTGTTGTAACCTAAAACTACATTTAACACACTACCTAAGAGAATTAATACAGCATAACTTTCTAACGTTACACATACAATATTCATTGTAACATTTGTGAAAAGCCAATCATAAATCTGCATTTTTCACACAAGGGACACCAAAAGGGACAGCAAAAGGGACAGTTTCCTTTCCTGCCCCAGAGGAAAGTGCTCTGGTCAGATCCCTGCTGCTGCCACACCAGCAGCCATCCCATTTTGGGGGAGAAATGGGACACAAGCAGTCATCACGTTTTGGGGATAAAAGCAGAGCCTTCCTTTTGCTCTCCATTGTGGTCCAGGGGCGAGGCAGGGCACACAGGGGTCCCTGGGGAGGGGACAGGAGGCTGCCCTGCAGTGGCACCTGACTCTCCTGGTTGAGTAGCCATCCATCAGCTAATGATCATGGGGTCGATGCTAATTAGCCCATTTGCATCCAGAGCTGGCTGCCTGGGTGTGTGAGGGGCTGCCAGCAAGGCTCATTTGGGCTGAGAAATGAAGTTTTAATTCATCCTCTGCATTCCCTTGCACTCTTTGGACACCTCACAGCTGTCCCCAAGTCCCTCGGTTAGAGGAGACAGTGAAGGCCTGGAAAAAAGGATGGAAGGATGAACTCCCAGATTTTTGCCTTATTTGTAGCCCAAATTTAGAGCCTGATCTCCAAGCAGCGTTTCCTGCTCCTGCAAGCAGAGATCCCCAGCCCTGTCTGCAGGAAAACAAACAAAATATCTGTGCTCTGGCCACTGAGATTCCCATGGAGTGCTTCTGCTTCCCTGTCCCCACCCACAATGTGCTGGAAACACTCGCTGGGGAAGCAGCTCTTGCCCCTGATCCTGCAGGGATGGCTCTCCACTCTGAGGCTCCAGGATGGCCTTTTTTAGGTAAGTTCTGCCTTTCTGCAGTCCTGGTGCTCACACGTGGCCCAGAGAGCTCCTCTGAGCTCCCTGCAATGGGCTTGTGCTATCAGCGGCTTCTATCCGCAAAGCAATTGATAACAACAAATAATTAAAAATGCATTTCTATTTCAGCAGCCTCTGGGTGCTCTCTGAAGCAAAAACAAGAGCTCGTCAGTGTGGAGGCCCACAGGAAAATGTGTTTTTCTCAACTCTGAAGTGTTGCTCCTGAATCCTTTTTTATTCTGGTCTGTGTCCATCTTATCTGCTGCTGTTTCTCAGGTCAGAAGCTGCATCTTCTCTGGCTCTGCACTGTGAGATGCCAAATGCAGGCAATTTGTTGTTATTTTTCCACGCTGTTTGCTTGCTTTGCTTGATTTTGGAGCTGAAATGACATGTGGAGGGGATGGAAAAGCTCTGTTGCTGCTCTTAAATAATTCCCTGTGTAGATGAGCTTCTTCTGGAATGCGAATGGGCTTTCCTGATTTAGCTAAATCCACTTCCAGCTGGAACCTGCTGCTTGGCCTGGGGTCAGGATGTTTGCGAGGGGAGCTACCACAGAGCAGCTCCATCCCAAAATTCCAGCCTCCATCCCTGCAGCGTTTGTGGCCAGAGCTGACCAAGGGCATCTGGGGAGGAGCCACCAGAAGATCTCAGAGGACACTGACCCCACCTCTGTCCTCCTCCAGCACTGCTGTGGCATTTATTGATTAGCTAGAACGAAATAATGTTTGCAGAGGGGGCTGGGCTGTGCTGGGGGGGGACAGCACCTCCCACAGCATCTCCCCACACAAGGCAGACCCCGTTGACCTGAACATGGATCCAGCAGCCTCTGGAATGTCCCTGCTTCTCCCCCGTGTCCCAATTCCCACCGCGGTGCTGCCAGGGCTGTCACTGCTGGCGCTGGTGCCCAGGGGCACAGAGGAGTCCCCAAAAAGGGACAGCAGGGCCACCACCTGCCCCAGCCCGGGCTGCAGTCGCCGTCTGCAGGTGCTAGGAGCCACTGGGTGTCAGTAGCATCCCACTTCCCGGCCGTGCAGTCGGGAGGATGGGTTTGCATCCATGGGGAGCAGCGCCAGCCCCCTGGACAGCAGCTTCATTCCCCCTGGGAGCGACTCCATCCCCCCGGGATCAGCTCCATCCCCCCGGGATCAGCTCCATCCCCCCGGGATCAGCTCCATCCCACAGGGATCAGTTCCATTCCTCCGGGATCAGCTCCATCCCCCCGGGATCAGCTCCATCCCCCTGGACAGCAGCTTCATTCCCCCCAGGATCAGCTCCATCCCACAGGGATCAGCTCCATCCCACAGGGATCAGCTCCATCCCCCTGGGATCAGCTCCATCCCCCCGGGATCAGCTCCATCCCCCCGGGATCAGCTCCATCCCCACAGGGATCAGCTCCATCCCTCCGGGATCAGCTCCATCCCCCCGGGACCAGCTCCATCCCACAGGGATCAGCTCCATCCCCCCGGGATCAGCTCCATCCCACAGGGATCAGCTCCATCCCCCCGGGATCAGCTCCATCCCTCCGGGATCAGCTCCATTCCCTCAGAGATCAGCTCCATCCCCTCAGGATCAGCTCCATCCCCTCAGGATCAGCTCCATCCCCTCGGGATCAGCTCCATCCCCCTGGACAGCAGCTTCATTCCCCCCAGGATCAGCTCCATCCCACAGAGATCAGCTCCATCCCACAGGGATCAGCTCCATCCCCCCGGGATCAGCTCCATCCCACAGGGATCAGCTCCATCCCCCCGGGATCAGCTCCATCCCCCCGGGATCAGCTCCATCCCCCCGGGATCAGCTCCATCCCACAGGGATCAGCTCCATCCCTCCGGGATCAGCTCCATTCCCTCAGAGATCAGCTCCATCCCCTCAGGATCAGCTCCATCCCCTCGGGATCAGCTCCATCCCCCCGGGATCAGCTCCATCCCCCCGGGATCAGCTCCATCCCACAGGGATCAGCTCCCATCCAGAAAAAAAAATTTTCTCCAAGTCACCCACCAGGCTCAGCTCTGAAGCTGTCCCTGCACCCCACAGCCCTCCTCACCTCAGCCTGAAGGTGAGCACCCATGAGGTGCTGCTGACAGGTGATTTTCCGACCATGTCATTATTTTATTTCCCCCAGCCTTTAATAAAATAAAGATTATTTTTAATGGTTTTTTTGTTTTTTTTTGGGGGGGGGGTTGGGTTATGGTTTTTTTTGTTTGTTTGTTTGTTTGGTTGGTTGGTTTTTTTTGTTTGTTTTTTTTACAGGGCCATATCCTATCCGGGGTGACATTTCTGGCTCAGACCAGATGAATGCAAAGTGCTGTGCCCCAGGACAGCCAGAGAATCCAGAATCCCAGCACCCATGGGGGGCTGCTGTAGCTGCCCACCCTCGCTCCCAGCCCAGATCTGACCCGCTGCCTACTGCTGTGTGAAAACCTGGCTGAAGAGCTGCTCCCGCTGCAGGTAGAAGGGTCCTGCAGTTCCTCCTGGTGAAGATGTTCCATCTGCTGTTAATTCACCTTGAAGTGAAGCTGTCTCCGAGCCTGCAGCTCTGCCTTTCATCACCAAGATCAGATCTGCTTCTTCCCTCTCTCCCTGTGGCTCTCAGGCCTCCCACACCCACCAGGCTGTCCAGGGATGGAGGATCTCTCTCCTGGGTGCACAAAACCCTTCAAGTCCTTAAAGCATCAGGGGAAATGTCCGAGGTCTCCAAAACCATCAGAACTCAAAACGTCCCTCAGACATTTTTGGATGTTCCAGGCCCAGGTCAGAAGCATTTGAGACTCTGTCACAGCTGGAAACAGCTGGGATTTTGGGTTTGAGCCATGGAACGATTTACCAACCTTGCAGGTGGAACAAGAAGTCACAAAAGTTTAGATATTAGAGTAGAAGTAGTCACAAAGTAGAGGGAAGAATTTTTGAGTGCTGTACAGGGGGGTTTCTGTTTTGTACATGGCGGTCAGAGGTTTTAAGATGGATTT